TCAGGAGTACTTGTAGATGACTCGCCCAAGTCACCCGCAGTTGTCATAGGCTGTGTACGAGGTGGACGTTCCGATGAAGAAAAATATAGTTCTGTTTTGCGATCTTTCAAGAAATCGCTTTCGTCAAAGATAATTTTACGGGGCGTTGTCTTGCTCGTGACTCGACGTTTAGCACTCGATGATAAAGTATGCACTTTAAATACTGGCTTGGGTGGCGTGGTTGGTCTGTTCTTGGGTAACCAGTATTCATAGTCGGCTTTGGGGTTATCTTTATCAGTCAATATAGCCTGAAAATAAGAKAACACAAGAAAATAGTCCTCTTAATTCTCCTTAAAATTTTATCCACACCTGAAACAACCTCTGAGCTGATCACAGTTAGGCACGACCAACTCACAGATCAAACCCGGAAACAACCTCTGGGCTGATCATAGTAAGGCACGACCAACTCACAGATCAAACCCTGAAACAACCTCTGGGCTGATCTAAGTAGAGTTGTTTTTGGCATAGCTGAGTTTCAGACGTTGTTTTTAAAGAATAGATAAAAATTTAAGCATGTACATATGTACACGGTTTACCATAACATAAAAGTCCTCCTTCGTCGGTCCCATGATCATGACCGCTTCAGATTTCTCACTGGGTAGTTTAGAATACTGGAAGTCTGTAGCGTTTATTCGGTACGTTCCTGGATCCGACATCTTTTTGTCACCCCCAAATACAAACACGCCGGACGATCCCTTGATGGCTGGGTGGGGATGGGAAAAAAATGATAATGAGAAAAGGAATTTAAATTTTAGGAAGATTCTAGCATCCTTCCCTACAAACTCTAAATATGTGGTACAAAATCATGTATTTTGTTGTGCAATTAATATTATTGCATTTCAAATTGTAGAAAATATATTGCTCGTCTTTTTATCCCGCGCGCGCAAAAGAAAAAAAAAAGAATACAAACACAAACAGCTTTTACTTTGTGGGTCGAAGAAGTATTTTGCACTCGGCGTCATTATTTTGCGGCTGCCATTAATAACTGAAACTTTCAAACTGGCTACGAGTAACAACGTAAACACGACCAAATTTGAAGTTACATTTTGAATATAAATTTACCTAAGTAGTTCTGGGAAACCTCACTGATTAATATTGTAGTTGCACCTTCTGGAATAACGAACAGCTTCATGTAACCTTAAAACAGAAGGAGAATAGAGACATAAGCTATCAATTTTTAAAGCAAAAACCAGGATAAGTTAGTGAACTACAGCTACGCCTAACTTGATTCCCTAAGCTTTAAGACAAATCCATGTCTTACTTGAAGAAAAACATACCTTCTTTTTTCTCTTCAGCTGTTGGCTCGCGGTCAATCATTCCTGAATACGCCTTACAAGTAGAACCATTGCCTCCACATACTTTACACCTATCAAAGATCTTCTGAGAACCCAGGACTCTGTCGCACCCAACACTCTAAAATCAAGGTAAAAATTGCATCAAAAGTAAGGCTACCACATACTACTGAATCTAGGACGTCAAGCCAATGCCAATTTTAGGCAYTTTTTAGGCATTCCTAATGCAGGAAAGGGGTTCAAGACAGACTAGTACTGATATCKATCTTGCAATAATCTTCAGATAACAATGTCTTTTTTATTAAAAAAAAGTTTAAAGCTTTAGAATGAGTTTAAAATAAAACACAAAATTACCGTGCACTTGCCAGCGACACAGACACTATACGGCTCGTCTATACACTTGGTACCATCTTGCGCGCGGCCAAGATAGAACGCTATGCGATGACYAATAGGATAGCAGAATAACATACATTTAGTGGTCCCTGGAAAATAGACAAAAATACTTTGTTAAATTCGGTCTGCACGCGGGCTACTGTTTTTTTGTTTTTTTTAATGAACATTCACTTATTGACAGGTTTTTGTTCGAAATTTTCTTTGCTGAAAAGGGTAGAGAGAATTCTGAAGTTGTTGGGTGCAATAGAGACCTTTAGCACCACGTTCTTGCTATGTACCGCAAATCTCAAACTGCAGTTCGACACGTCAGGCGTTTTCCTTCGCACTTTCGACATTTAGCAAGGCGTCAWAACGAAGTTGTCGCTGGAAGAGCTGTGTTTCTCCGTGTTTGCAGGCGTATTGCTGGGCCTGATCCCTAGCGGTTAGCGGTAGACCTGATGCTAAAGGTCTCTAATGTCGCAGGCAATCGATGTGTCGAGCCATGACTGACGACGCAATTTGTTACACGCGATGTTGATGAAATAGAAAACGATCCTACTTCAAAAATATTGCCAGCAAAATCACGCTAAATGTTGCACCGCGTGTCGCGCCTTAACGAGACGGGAACAAAAAAAAGCTCTTTAGTTATGAATGATTAATTTGTGGACGGCCGAGAATCCAAAACCACGCAAAGCCTTTCTCSTTTCAGACAACTATTTTAACGACCTTCTAATTGACTCAAAGGTACTTAAACTTCCAGTCTCAGCAATAGCATCCTTGAGTAGCGACTTGACCTTAGCGGAATTAACAGATCACATTATTACTGCCAGACGAACTACACTACTCAATACTCAATCTCAAGATAAATTCTCTTTTTATTTTTGGCGATTTGAAAATATTTCAAGGTTCATATTTTTGGTAAAGGAAGAGTGCAAACTTGAGGAATTTGAGCAAGCAATCAGATTGTGCGTTTAATTTGCAGCATTTCGATTCTTAACTTTTCGAAATTATTTTACAACGAAATCGAAATATCTGCGTAGCCAGTTAGAATGCGCGTTCATAACAAACCAATTTTTGGACAATTTTCAAGACTATAACTTCTTGTATGAGCTCAAACATAAACACAAAGTCAAGGTTTTTTACGCAACCAATCAGAATTCTTCCTTCCAGATCATTTGCATGATTATTGATTTTTCTAGGAATACACAGATGTGGTTTTCAAGTATTTCATTCGTACCTCGTTCTATAGATTTCCATTTAGCCTTTTTCCCCTTCAACATCACTTCTCTGTCATTTTCCTTCGCACACTGAACGTCCCGAAAGTTGGGAGAATTCAAGGGACAAAGCTGAAAAATCAAAAGTCATTTTGGTTTAATAATAATAACTTTATTCTTATATAGTGCCATTTCCATTTTTGTCCAATGGCGCTTTACAAATTACAATTAAACACTAAAAATATGTGGTAAAATAATTAAGAATTATATCATAATAATAACTTTATTCTCATAAAGCGCCATTTCCATTAGTTCTGTCCAATGGCGCTTTACAAATTACAATTAAACACTAAAAATATGTGGTAAAATAATTAAGAATTATATCAAGATGTTAAAATAAATTTATTTTTCTAGTTAGACCCAGCCTTTGCACCGAGCTCCGCATGCGCCGAATCCAACGCAAACGAGCGATCATAATACTCTCACATACATCTTGAACATAGACTTATAACCACATAACGTTATTTCAGTGTAATCTCGCATGAAGTATTGGTCCCCTATTACGACGCATTCTCGGTGTCGTATTTGAGTGGATTTGCTTGAGAGTTGGCTTTCTCCTGCGTTTTGAAGGTTAAATTTTTTGTTTTGTTTTTTTTTTTTTCGGTTTTTCTCTCTTTGCAAAAATCGATAAACTTCTAAATTCCAATTTTTACATTTCCATTTCATTTCCATTACTATTACTTGAAATTCTAAACACTAGACCTTCTATTGCAGTGTACAATTTCCTCAGGAAGAGGAGTGGGGAAGGATCGATATAGCAACCAATACAAGGCAAAAAGAGACGCCCTAACTTTATAATCCACCACTACAAATGTTTGATTAATACTCCARGATCGAGTTCTGTGTTGCTCAGAGTAAGCCTCAATTTTGTGTAGAATATTCACGTGTTCCAGTCAAGGTCCGTGGAATTTCAAAGTGTTCGTATTGTTGAAGTTGTGCATTCTTTACTTTACCGTTCGTTGGTATTTGAGAATATTTAGACACTAATACGAGACTAACCCTGAGTAAAAGAGTCTGTAATCAAGGAACACAGGGTTAATTTGGAGCTCGAAGAAGGTCTATTTTATTTCACCGCGTCTAAGATATATTTCAGATACTAGAAAATCACTTGCGCACACCTTGCACCACAATGAATGCCCATCTATTGTTCTGGAATTAATTTAAAAGGGCAGAACAAGTCTCGCCCTTAGCTGGATTGCTTTATTTAACCTATCTTATTGACCTCTCGAAAGTCTACTCTCGAAACCCGTGGGAAATTCTCCCTTCTTGACTTGAGYGTACGCCCTATGAAGATAGCCTGCGTGCAGCCCGACTTTAATTCTGRTTAAGATGGTCTGCGAATCAGCGCAAGTTTCCTTAGTTTTTCTTGACCCCCGGCGTAGTTGTGAGATTAAATATAATAGGCTGTGATTGGCTGTTATGCCAATTCATTTTAACATGCATTTTGATTGGTCTWCGGTTGTTCTAGATCCCAAGCATGGTTGCACGATGATATATAATATACTGTGATTGGCTGATATGTCAATTCATTAYTACAGGTCAAAGGTTTTTATCTACAAGACAGGTTTAAGTGGTTAAAGATTCTCGACAACACATATTGATATGCCATTCCGTTGTGCAAATTCAACCGTTTTCGTCAAGAATCTACATTTGACTTATTTTTTCCAAGTTGATATCACAATGGACTTGGTTGAAATTTATTTATAARCGCTGCTTTTCTCTCACTTTCTCTCTTTCCCTCTCTTTCTCTCTCTTTCTCTTAACCCGAAGGACTTTACGCATCCTTCTCATTTTCAATTGTTGATCAATCCTCAATCTTATCTGCATACACTACCTCCAAAAATCACTCGATAATAGAAAATAAAAACGTCTTAGCTCGGAAATCAGAGGTCTCAGCTGTTTAAGGCTATTTTAAAGGGAGTATAATGTTCCTGATATCAGTAATATGACAGTACGACCTATAGCTAATGCTGTTAGGGCAGGGCTCTTTTGGAATGCCAAACACCTCCATCAGGTTTAACCAAGTTATGATCAGTATTAGCCTCCTTCGCAGCCGTTCTTAGGGTCGTCACGCAAACGTTGCGTGACGACCCTAAGAACGGCTGCGAAGGAGGCTAGATCAGTATCTGCGCAAACAGGTCCACAACAGGAGTCAAACATTCAACCTTTTCAAGTGAATGTTTGCAGGACTCTTTAATCTCATTTTTTACCTGTTTATTAATCTCCAAGTTACGTTTAACCAAGTTACGAACAGCCGAGTATCTGGCTGCGCAAACAAGTCCCCACATGTAGTCCAAACATTAAGTCTTTTCAAGTGAATATTTGTGAGAACTTTTTGATCTCATTTCTTACCTGGTTATTACATGTGCGGTGCTGTCTTGGATATCTAAGACAAGGGCTTCTATCTCTGAAAGAAAACAATTCCAGTTTGAATGATGTAATGAACTGCGCATGACCAAAAAAACTGGCGGGAAAAGGGTGCGAGTTCAAAGCTTTGAAGACTCGTTAAATTGCCATGGATAAAACTGTCAACGGTAATGTAAATGCTGTACGTTCAGGTTCACGTTCATGTATTCCTGTACGAACCATTTGGCAATAAGGACTGGGGGGAGGGGGGATGGGCTTTAGCTTATCTGGGATCTGGGATCCTCTGAGCAACCATAAAACAAAAAAATTCGAAAGGGTTTCTTAAACAAATTAATAATGAATTTCATGGAACTATCAACTAGGAGTATATCACACCTGAACTATAAGTATCCTATCTAGCCACGACGAGATGGCCACGACCTTCACAAAGGTAGCCCAAATATGAAACCGACTTTTCAAATCAATGTTTGCTGACCGGATATCATTTGAACGAGATGACAATGAATATGATCTTTCAACAAGGATTTTGACTTTTGAGATAACCTGTGTATGGCTGAAGGGGTTGTTGAAGGGGTTGCGGAGGTAAAAAGAGGTTTTTAGATGCTATTGTACATACCTGTTGCATCTTCTGCCTCTAAATTGAATTCCAGTCCCACACGTACGAGAACAACGGCTCCATTCCGACCACTCTGACAAAAAATCCATTCCATCGAGGTCATCTTTTTCTGCCTTCACCTCAGGAACGTTTTTGGCGGAGACGTCCTRAATTGAGGAAAGAATTAAAAAATGCTTCAGATTCTGAATTGGAAAGGAATGGAATGGTTTGAGCTATTTGACTTGCTCAAACATAAAAGAGAAAGGGAAACTAAATGAATGAATGAAAATATTAGTGAGAGAATGAAAAGGAAAGAAAGAAAGAAAGAAAGAAAGAAAGAAAATAAGAAACAAATAAATAAATAAAGAATGAATGAATGAAAGTAAACTAAAACAGACGAAAGCCATTATTAACTAAACTTTCACAAATCGTAAGAATTACTGTTAAAACTACAATTAAGTCAAATGACGTAAAATTCTTGACTTTCGCTAAACTGAATTTGAACTTCACTCCTTTTTTAGTCACAACACTCTTGAGACTACATGGATAATTCTCGACTCTTACTAATTGGCTTAAAATGGATCAAAAAAACCTCACTCGGAGAACACTCTGTTATTGATATATATATCTCAAATTCTCAAACGCGTGCGAAGATTTGCGCAAAAAAATTGGTTCGTCACCAAAATCGTACTCGGTCCTAAAAGTAATGTTTTTTCGCGATGAGAATCGACCTTTTTTGTGATCATACCGTGCAATAACGCATGCTTTTTCACTCTACGGTAACGTAAAACAAGATGTTCAAATCTCGCGTGAGAAACTGGAGTACACAGCCATTACCTGCGTAGTATCTCAACCGCATGTTATCAATGAGTCGAAGCCCATTGTATCTAGGTTTACGTTAATTACGCTAAGCGAATATTGCGGTTTTGACTGCGCGTTTTGTGAACGACTAAACAAACAATAAAAACCCGCCAGGGTTAATCAATTCGGTACGTTATTTRCTATGTGGGTTTGGTGGTATGTTCCAGTACTGTTGCAATACTATGTACAAGATGGATTGCGTTGTTTTTCTACTTAATGCTCTTATAGAACAATAGGGAAGAATGAGGGGGGAAGGGAGGGGAGGGGGGGGGGAGAACAATAGGGAAGAATGAGGGGGGAAGGGAGGGGAGGGGGGGGGGGAATATGAATCAATCAGGAAGATATCGTTGAAAGCTAATAACCGTCAACAGTGTGAGTGGGATTAAAATAACGAGGAGTAAAAAGAAGAGATTCAGTCGGGGAAAAAGATAAAAGAAAATTAATTATAATAATAATAATTTAATTTCTCATAGAGCGCAAAAATTCATTAAAATATATGATCTACTGCGCTTTACAATCTTTACAATCATTAAGAATCAAACTATACTAAAACTATATCTAAAATCATGTAGTCCTATTTATTATATTTACAGATAGAAAATCAAAATAGACGTCACTAAATGAACTGAATTTACCAAAACTCACAGTTACTACGATCTCAGAATTTAATTAAAGATTAAAAATAGGCTTGCCTAAAAAGATATGTTTTCAATTCTTTAGAATAAAAGGATGAGATTAGGTAATTAGGTTTATTAGAAAAATGTTGTTATTGAAACGAAGGAGATCAGAATTATTCCAGTGGTAGTCTCATGGACTGCCCCCTCTTCTCACTCCCTACCTCCCAACGACACTAAAAACGGCTGAGGGGAGACTACCTGCGTTGCAGCCTTCAATAATCGTTGGGTTGGGTCCTTCTCCTCCGAATCCCAACCCCACGATTAGGCCATTACCGTGGTGTCGAAGTCAAACAACGAGAGCCTCAACAAACCGTTATAAAACGAAAGTCTACAAAAAGAAAAAAAAAAACAAGGCAAAAAAGGAGAGAAAAAAATTGTCTGAGCTTTTTAAATATTTCATGCTTTTTAACACTTTGTTTTGACGACAGGAAAAAAACTAAACCTTATAATTTGATTAGTACGTAGATAAAAAGCGCTTAGCGAAAAAATCGTCTGAGTCTTGTCGAACGTTTATGGATACAACCAAGTAAATGTAGACTGGTTTTGTATGACTGTGAAATGTCACGCACATGGTCACGATATATCAGGACACGGTACTGTTCTCGTCACGACACTGTCTTGTCTCAGTTTCGCCCGAAAACATTCCTGAACACTAACAAAAGTACATTGTACAAAACTATTCGTCATGTCCAGTAGCATTTTGCGTGAAGAGGTGAAGGTTCATCGCCGCAAAGCACTATCAAGCGCGCACGCCAAGAGGTGTTTCAATTCTTCATGACAAGGACACGCACATCTGCAAACTATAAGCCTCTCACTCTCTCAAAGCATAGCTTTTCGATCAAAGTGCGTTATGTATTTTTGTGTGGAGTACTTTAAGAATCCTGTTAGGTAGTTGGAATTGGATTTGCATAAGTTAGTCACTATTAAATATCCTTTCTAGCGTTTTTTTTTTTTTCGTAGCTGCTTATATTCTATTTTTTATATTCTGTTCACTCGAAGAATGTGCGTGAATCGGGAAATGAATTTCCGCAGTAGATGCAAATCATATGAACATACTTTTAAAATGACCATGACTTCCATCGTTGTATGCGTCGTTCTACAAAGAATTCCGACACCTGTATATCATTTGCGGGGTATTCTATAATTGCTCCTAGAAAAAACTTCGTAAAGCCAAGCTTGGTAAAACTTAAAAGAAATACCTGCGTGTCATTTTATGCTCGCAGTTTTACTAGATCACGGCACGCGTAATAAACCTTGTCCACAGGACATGCGCTTAAAATCCTCTGAATAACAGAGCACAYAGCATGATCTATAACAGAACATTACATCACAAGAAAAGAATTCGACTCAAAAGTGATCCTTGATTTAAGCAAAGTAGAACTTGATACTATCGGGCGAGACGATTAAATCCTTAGACTTACTCAGATTTCTTGATAGTACTATATAGGCACTCGAGACAAAACATCTTGCTTCAATGGATAATAGATCGACTRGTTCGTGGTATAGATACGAAGTTACCTGATGGGAGGGGCGCCTCTTCGTTTTGTTTTGATGGGCTGTTCGTCTACTTTCACTCGTCGAACAGGCCATTCAAACAAAGAGGGAAGAAAATATCTGGTGAATAAGATTCTTAATCAGTGCTAGCGGTAGAGAAAGATAGCATGCTCAAGGGAATGACACTTGGTCTGAAATGGGAACTGAACACAAAGACTGATTCTACGAGTCGTAGCCAAAGAGCGAGAACACCTACATATGGAAACAGTCTAAGGAAAAATATAACGAATGGTAAAAACATTACGTCCATCATATTAAACGTCGTGGTAAGAAAAAAACATGTTCAAGGGAATGACATGTGGTCTGAAATGGGAAAACATTGCGAATGGGGGAAAAACATTTCATCCATCTCAAATGACTTAGTAATAAAATTGATAACCAAATTCAAATGTTTTCTTAAACGTTACTGGTAAGGAAAGACATCATGTTCAAGAGAACGACAGGTGGTCTAAAATGCGTAAAACATTACGTCCAATCTTGTGCAAATTTTGCCTCTAGTGGTGTACCGGTATATGATTATGTTGATCCAGTGTTCGAGCATATTTTCATTACATCCAAAAAGTCCAAAATTACCACAAAGTGGGCGCACCAACCACACTTTCCCGTGACATAGCTTAGTGGRCGACCAACATGAATGGGCTCGTATGGCACATCTGTTGGTCAATTTGATGTGAGAAAATAGTACTCAGATTGGCATTAAGATTTTTCTCAAAGATCACAAATCATACTGAAAACATTATTTAGACCTATATTTCTTAATTTCTCCTAAGAATATATTTTGTCCTAACAAAATAAAAGTTTACGAAAAGAAATCTAGTGTTTTAAGATTGCGACWGTGAAATCTCGTTTTGAATCCAAAAGTATTTCCTGACTTCTCTACCGGAAATCTCCAGCTTTGTGTTGAAAGAACGTGGCCCCCAAAAAAGTCGCGCAATACCACAAAAATCYATCTTCTTGCCAGAGAATGCAGGCGTGAAGAAATTACACAGTATACAATTGAAATACAAGTTTAGAAAAGTTGTTGATTTTACAAGGTAAAATGCGCTCAAAGTTGCGCGAAATTTGGTGAATTAACGCTAATAAAATGCGTGATGTTTGAAGGGATCGACCAGTGTGACGTATAGTAAAATAAAGCATGTGTTGCAATATGAGAAATGTCAGTTATGTGAAGCGGCGGTGTGCCCGATAGATGTAATCTTGAAAACTGCGGAAACTCTTGTGCAATGAACGGATTTCGTATTTTGAATAATTTAAGTGATTCCATTCAATTTATCCTTTCACTATCCTACTTTTGTTGTTATCGTTGTTTTAGATAGTACGTCGAAAGAAAAAATGAAATATCTTGCATAGACGAGCGCGTTTAAACTCGCAGCAGGGAAACATAGATGTCAGGGGAAATTCTTCGATATTTTGGCAACCCTTGAATAAAGGCTTGACCCAGGAAACAATCAAAAACCACAGAAAATCCAAGACCTTATAAAATAAAAATCATATCAAACACTCGCCACGAATTCATCTCCTACAAGAACCCCTTGTAGAAAAGTCTTAGAATATAACTTCATCACATAGAAAAGTGTAGATAACGTTTTTTTCGCTGTCTATCTCATTCTCTTTCTTCCTTTCATGTGGGTGATGTTCTATTTTATATATTATTTCTGTAATAAGCCTTAAAATATTGAAGCTAAAACAACCGTTCGATCCTCAGGATATGCGCGTCTGTTCGACTTTTCTATAATCCGTGTAGCTTCAGCTTCGAATACCCTTAAAACAGAGCACTGATGGAGAGAGGGGGTAAAGTGCGCACCGTCGGCTTCCATTGATAGCAGTTGAATTCAACTGAAGGAACTACCGACTTTAAATATATGTACTTTACTTTACTTTTATTTTTTTTTAAATTGTTGAAATAATTCCAGAAAACAGATGAAAATTGTTTGATATCAATCGATTTCAGATTTTTGAATCCCTATATTCCATTTTCATTGACTTACAGGATTAAAATCAAAGGACACTTTTATCAGCACGATCTTTTATGAATTGTTTTGACTAAGAATGAAAATCTCGAGTAAATAAACTTTATTTATACATAAACTAAAGACTTTTTTTTACTTTTAATAATACCTAAGTTGAAAAGGTTAAAACTGTTTACAAATTCAATTCAATCTTATACTGTAATTTCGACAGCTTATAGTTGTGTTACTATACATGTCACGAAGTAGCAACGGCTCTCTTTCAACAATTTCGGCTTAGATCTTTCAAATTATCGAACGAATTTCGAGTTTATTAATATCAAAGATAAAAAAAAGCGATAACTCAAGAACCGAAGCTAAAGAAAGAGATTTTGGCGCCAAAAATATGAACCGCGTTTGGTATTGTTGATTTTGGTTCCGTTTGTTTGTATATCRAGGTCATGACCGAACACAAGAAAAAATGGCCAGTTTTGTAGAGACGAATGAATGGCAGACACTAGAAATTTTCATTGTCTATCTTTTACGTAATCTATTTTGACCKGGGCAATCTTGGAATTCACTAATCTTTATATCAATTCAGATCAACTGTTAAGGTAAGAACAACGCTGAGACAAACGCCATTGATATACAGTGGGAAAACCGGCAATTATACGGAACGAATCCCGAATATTTCGAGTCCGTCGAAGTAAACATATTTTAACTATATCATTACTTTTATACTTAGTGCAAAGTTAATTAGAATTTACTCCACCTAAAATGTCAATTATTAATCTAACAGATCATAAATTCATTATATACATCATAGTGTCGTATACATACCTTAATATACGATGTCAATAGCGCTTGGAGGATAAAATATGCTACGGTTATCTCGGGCGAAAACCTAAAATAAAAATTAAGAGTCAATTTATTTGCTCTGTAAAAAATCCTTAGTAATTTAGAATGGCGAAGGTTTAGTGAAATAGGTACTTTAGTTTTATGTTAGTTCCACGTGAAATTGATTGTATCACTAAAAGTTGTGAACTATTTTAGTAAGAATCTAAAGGAAGAAGACAAACTCACCGCATTTTCTTCGGCCGCCGTGCTGGTCAGATCAAACGTGGTGGAACTTAAGCCAGGGAGCTTGTAATGCGCTAGGAATAAAATGAATGTCCAGACGACGGTCCACGCAGCTACTCTACTTTATTAGTTTGACTATCGCGTTGAAATAACCTTTCCTACCAAGTGCGCTCAGACTAACAGGCTTGCGAAAGGTCAGGCGAATCAATTTTCATTGGTGACAGCTGAATATGACAGACATGGGCCTGAAAAATACCGCAATGGCGACACCCATCTCTCTAGGCGTGAGTTTCGATAGGTGCGATTATCATGATTGAGGCATGGTTCAGTAGATTTGCATTTGGACACCGAGGTGTGGGCTTTGCGGCAACTAGTATGCATTATTATTTGGGAATCAGTCAATAGATTAGGGTTTGTTTGCACATATCTTAAGAGCCTCTGTTTGTGTGGGTTACACTCGCATGTGTGATAACAGTAATTATAATGTGAAGTTAATATTCTGGTTGACAAACACGATAAYGTTCAACAGCTCAACTTTAGCATAAAGACACATAACCCTTTAGGAAATTTGCACTAACAAATGGATAGAATGTAGGATGAAAAAGAAAAAATAATCGATGATGAATAGTCTTTGCAAATTTGACAACAAAAAAAAAAAAACGCGAAAAGAGAGAAATAAGAAAAAAGAAAAAAAAGAAAAATTCACTAATCTCTCTATGATAATTTGATAAATCAAAACCTTTTCACTCACTCAGCTAGCTACACTACATTTGCAGTCAAAACGCAATATAGGAATACTGCTTTTGACCGTTAAACAGTGTAATAAGTTAAGCAAAGATGAAGAATTTTTGGCATCTTCTAAAAATTCACAAATCAGTTGACTACCTTGTGATGTCATTCACTTATCTCAAATTCCAAAGCTACCCCGTTAGGTCGTTTGTTTAGGCAGAGCCGGAAGCTTAAGCAAACATCCGCAGGAGTGTCGTCAATTAGATGTAATAGGAAAAAAGAAAAAAATCAGTCGACTAAGGTCACGGTTCAAGCCCGGTTTCCACCTTGGACAAAAAGTCGTAAAATTGGGTGTCAACATGCCTGGAACATGCTTTTTGATCTCATTTGGAGTATTTCAAATCGACACCTTGGAAAATATACCTGAAATAATATTTATCTTGCTAGTGGAGACGTAGAAAAGGTATTGAGCAATGATAATGTAAGGTTTGTTGATGCAACCATTTTCCGTGGTGCGCCGTGCCCTGAACGATTAGCCGTGCTGCTAATAGCTACTTTATACAAATTTGAAGGCAAAATTCAACAATGATTCTACTTAAGAAGATTGCGCAAATTTTGAGAAACTTTTAAGAAATTGTTTTAAAAACTCTCTCAAATTTTAATCGCACTAATTTGAAGGTAAAGAACACTGATATAAATTTTCAATTTTATCAACCAAAACTTGCTAGTTTGCTCGCCTAAACTTCAATTCGCTGGAACATGAAACAAAATTGATTTACATTTACGTTTAATTACCTGAACGAAATGAATCATAACAAATTATTAAAATTACTCCTAAAATACTTTGTGGAAACAATGAAAACTTAGTTAATTTTGGACTAAGTGACCCATGACATATTTATCAATATGAATTCAGAATTGTTATGAAGTAGTCAAGTATGAAGAATTACTGAGGCACAAAAACGTTGATCACAACGAAACGTAGTCTTGTGGTCTTTACACAAAAACGTTCTTCAAAAACCAAGATTATAGTGTTGTATGGTGAAAATTGAAGCTGTATTTAGACAATCAAAGAGAAACTTTATCATAGCCAGTCGAAATGCTTAGCTGGCTTTATATCTAGGACTTAAACAAGGTGTTTATGGTTCTTATCAATCAGATCAAGTAGATTTTCAAGTTTTAAACACTATCTTCATCAGGTGTGGCCATGTCGTCACAGCRTGTTCTTGCCATTTCGACAAGACGACGAAGACGTCGCCCGATGCAAACAGATATACAAATGAATTTTTCACTCTTTTATTATGGTGTCTAGACCGCAAAATTCAAAATATCTTGCGGGGATTCACGCCTTCTTTAAACCGGGTATATTTGGGTGAAGTTCTTTCAACGTTCATGTCTTTGAAACCTCACCTAGTCAGACTCTACTAACTCTCAGTGCCACGCTCAGATCGGGRGAACGAAGAAGAATCTGGAAACTTGTGAATACAATCCCGGTCAAAATCCGATTAACCACTCTATTTATTATTCATGTCTTTACTACAATCAAACAATATTTCCTTTTTATAGTTTAATTTAGATTAAATGATTATCATGATTTCGAAGAAAAAATAAATGAATGCAAACAGCTTAACGAAATGGCCAAAGAAACGAAGAAAGATTTTGAGGGTCTCTTGGACTTTTTAGTTTCTCGTACTTTATGCAAGAATTTGGTGGGAAGAACCTGACGGAAGCAGTAGGCGCTCTCGGAAACCTATGTTATCTTTTTGTCCCTATATGGCAAAAACATTTAACAGTATTCAACACTTCAAGAACTTCAAGCTACAAACAAAGACATTTTGTAAACTTGTTTTGCAAACAACAAAAACAAAAGCATTTAACTGAATGACTCCGACGAAGGACTAGCGTCCGAAACGTCAGTAAGTTTTTTCATCTTTTCACGGTGTATAATTTACCTTTTCATCATTACAAAAACAAAAGCAGGAAACTGTTAGAAGACGTTTGTTGACGGAAATTAAAATGCTTTTAAAGCTGGAATGGAATTACAGTGTCAGTGATATAAAAGCTAAAAAAATGTTGAAAATAGGTCAGAAGAAAGTGAGAAAAAGATATTTAAACTCGTGACCATAGTAAATTAGAGGGCAGGAATTCAATTTCAAAAGCTTAGTCATGCGGCATGCACTATATTTGTGATATAAACTTCAAATTCAATTTTTGACATCTTTTTTTTACTCTAAACTTTACAAAATTAGTATGTCAAAATCATATTGCATTGTTTGATTTTTGCCTCTACTTAACATTTCTTTTGATATTTTTATCAAAACACTCAGAAAACACATTGGATCGAAAAGATAGACTAGATTGAGTGAAAAATAAGTGATTCATCCAATCTCTTGATTAGGGTGTGGAGCAAATTCTCAGCCACATTATTCAACACAGATGAAGTGTCATCTTGGCTTATTCTTTAATCCACTAGAGGGAGAAGTTTAGACAAGGTCCGGAAGCAAACCGATAATGGAGTTTAATCGATCCTCAGTCAGACCTAATTCTAGTTCAAACCTAAGTACAATATAAGTCAAATGTGACTTAGCTGTTGATCCGCCATTAATATTTAAGAGTAGAAGAACAGATTAAATTCAAGATGTGCCGGCTAAGCCAGCCTGTAATTCTAGATAACGATCTTGCTTGAATGATCTTTCCTAGTTAATAGGAATAATTTGATTTCTAGATAAAATCATTTGTCATTAATATTAAACATATCCATAGCCACTCAAGATGTTTTATAAGGGAGGGGTCTGTGAGGAAACAAAATTATTACTGAGCGGGGTGGAGAGGGTGGGGATCAAGTGTTCATTCGAATTCATTTATTATTTATGCTTTCTTTCTTTTTCTCTTTTTTTCTTGCATCCCTTCTTCTTTACAATCTAAAATACTTATAATAGATTTACAGGTCCTTTGTAAGTTTTTTTCTTTTAATTTCACGAATTCTTTAAACTATGCATTATTTTTTTCAAATTTTATAATAACGATTCAACAAAAAAAATTCTTTTTTCTTTTGTATGTTTGTTTTTCTATATTATATTTATTTATTTATTCTTTTTTGGGGGGAGGGGGAAGACTTATTTCTCGTGTAACTTTATTTATTTATTTATTTATTTATTTCATTCTCTGTTCTGTCCTTTCTTTCACCCTTTATTTGGTTCTTTTGTTCATTCTTTTTTCTTTTCTTCATTTCTTTCTTTAATTCATTCATTCGTTCCCTCTTTCTTTTTATCTATTGCTCCTCACCCCTCTCTTCCCCTCCCTTAATAAAATTCCTCGCCTCAAGCCCAGACCTAGCAAAGACTGGTACCAAATTTCGCTTATCCAATCAGAGACGTCCCTGAAAAATAAACAGCCAATCAGGGAACGCGCGGTCGATTTTAAAGCTGAACAAATACTTTGCAAAGCGTTGATTTCAGCAACGAGCATCGATACAAGCATCGTTCAAGGGAAACTTTTTTTAAAAACTACCTTCTAAACCTCAAAATGTCCATAAATCCAGATATTCACTACTCAACTAAATACACCGATGATACAGGTTTTGAATATAGGTAAGAAAAATTGAATATTTGCCGTGTAAGTGTGAAAAATGTCTACTTAAATTCGAGTTCAAACGGACCATAACATCAGAACACTTTGAATCTTGAAGACTTGAGTTTTAATGAGGATCGTTAAATAAAAACAGATTTAAAAGTAAACCATTAAATAACCAAGTGTTAAGCTGTATTTATTGGACGTTTAAGTCCAAAACCTTGCGAACAGAAACACTCTAAGTACGTCGTTAAACCACGTGTTGGACATTGGTTTCAAAATGGCGTTGTCCGTTATGAATTGTTTTAAAATGGAATTAAAATCTTAGATTTACCAGAACCTAAACGTAAAAATACACCACGCGTAGTTTCCTCATAAAAAAACTTTAAAATGCTATAAATTATGATTCAAAGTGAAACGATTTTGAACATTTATGTTTCCATCCCGCAAGTCAAAGACCTCGCCTCTCGAGTAGAGGTCCTTTCCTACGAATTGGTGATTCTTTACCTAGGTAAGACACTGTTCACAGTATGCTTAAACTTTATAAAAGGTCTTTTTCCAAATTATTATAGACATGTAATGCTTCCCAAATCCCTGGCCAAGAAAGTTCCAAGGGATAGATTACTGACTGAAGAAGAATGGCGAGGAATGGGTATACAACAATCTCAAGGATGGCAACATTATATGATTCACAAACCAGGTAGAGTTATAATTAGCAAATCTTTTTTCTTTAGGCCAATGAAGAATGAATGGTAATAGAATATGAAAAATATATTATGATATATAAAATTCATTTATGAAGAGGTTTACTTGTAACAAAAACTAACCACTTCCATGGTAAAAATTTTCCTAAAAAAAAAATGAAGGGGTTGAGCAGAAGCATATGCCTCGTCAAATTTTTCCTCAAACTTGTATGAAACTTAAAAATTGTAGTTTGCTATACTAATCTGCTGGTTTGTTTACTTTCAGAACCTCACATTTTGCTGTTCAAAAGGCCAGTAACCTAGAGCTAATGAAGAGACAAATAAATATAATTATGGTTCATCCAAAAAATGGCAGAACGATTTAGCTAAACAAAGAATCAACCATCATTGTAAATACCAAGAATATTGTTATTCAAGTCAAGTCATAATACTTTTTCTTGCATCTTAAATATTTTGACGACGAATTTTTGCTTTAAGTTTATGGTTAAAATCCACTTATAAATGTAAGTTTATTAGAAGTTTTGGATATAATCTTACAACTTATTGCTCATTCTTTTCCAAATGCTTTGAATTATTCCTAGATATTATTCATAATAATTCTTGTAATATCAACACCATTTATTCAATATTTTGTGCAAGTTCTTGTATCCCACTTATCAGATATTGCCAATCAATATTTTTTTGCTTTCTGTGTGTTAACATAAGGACAATATATTTATCTCTCACAATTGAATGAATGTCTATATTATACACTTTACACCTCACACTCTCTTATAGAAGCAAACCTATATTCATTTTCTAGCAATACTTGTACATATACTGTAACAATCTTCTTTTGCTAATAAAATTTGATTTGGCAAAGCATATCTTGTACATCATAAGTTTTAGGGACAAGTAAATTCTACCGACAATAAGCTATAACTTCTTTCCCAATATGACCCTCAGGGAAATGAGTGTGAAAGAATCTCGAACACTGAAAGTAACAAATAGAAAGAGGTTAACATGGTTTTTATTTTAATGAAGAATCTAAGGCACAACTTCAGAATACCCAGCCTAATGATATTCACACATTAATCCTCTATTGTTCTTCTATTGTTATTGTTATATTCAAAAGACTTGCTTCATACTAAAATAAAGAGCATGGCTGGGTATTCTGAAGTTGTTATGAATCTAAAATATAAATTTGTATTCCAAAAGTTTACCTCCTTGTAGTCAAATTTCTTGAGAAATGAGTTGATTACCTGTAGATGAAATGAATGACTTCGTGTTACTGTGGTTTTCCATATTTCTGTGAAGTCAGACATTAAAACAGTTTCATTGCATTCTGTTTAACAGCTACGAGGATTATACKAACCGATTTTATTATTTTTACTTAATTGAATAATAACCCATGTTAACTAAGATCAACTGCAATCGGCTGTGAAAATTATCTGCTGAAAGTAAACTTGTAAGTTTGTTTGTCCGAATTTCGCCTTTGTCTTCGTTTTTATGACGTCACGGTTGTGCTGCGCTATTGCTTTTTTACTGTTGCCAGTCAAGAAGAAAAGGTACGGACTGATTACTTTTAGATTGATGGCAGTGAAAAACCAAATTTCAACATGCAGCTTGTAACTAGAATATTGAAAATCACAGTAAGGGATGATAGAATCTTAGAGCACAAGCCATGTATTGGTACCTTTGATAGCTTGTTGAAGCAAATGATATGAGTTGGTAATGCCTGCAGCTTTTCATCCTGAACCCCTATTTTATCATACTCTTCGTTCAACCATTCATTTGGGTTCTGATAAAATATGTCAGCTTCATCTATATATCCTGGACTTTCATTGGGAGGACACTCGAGAAACCTCATGGTTATATTCTCGTGTATATGACTGAAAGATTTTATAAATAATTTTCAAAATATTTATGACTGAGAATGTGCAATTTAGTGAAAATGCAATGAAAGATTTCATATGAACATAAAAGTTGTACAACAGATAAAAAACATTACAATGGCCTGATTGCAGTGAGCAAGCTCACTGTATGGATGCTCAGGAATGGCCTTAATCAAGATCATAAATGCATTTTATTTATGTAATAGAGTGCATACCATTTGTCTGTAAAAAACTTTGTAAGAAATTGCACTAATTTGCACAAATTTCATATTTCCAAAAACCTAACAAATTTGCACTATTTTGTACGATTTTGTTAGTTARCTTTTTCGCATATATATGGTATGCAATTTGTTGCATGTTTTTTTTTAAACACATGATCAATTAAAACATTGAGGACCAGTGACTTACCTATAGTAAGGAGTTGAGTGACATGGCATAAGAAACAATACTGATATATTGTTACTGTTACTGAAATCGTTGCGCAAGTAAGCCATCACATCAATGACACCCTTCTGATGGACCAGCGAAAAGTACAGTGCTACAGGAATGTTTGTAGTACAAAGGAAGGCAATGATAGCAGGCAATAAAATAGATTTTGATGTCTTCTTAGCTTTCTTGCTGCTGTTATCAGGGCTTGCTCCAAGGGAGGACAGATAGGACCCACAGTAGCAAATGCACAGAGGCAAAATAGGAAAAATAAAACGAAATTCCTTGTGTCCAAGAAAACTGTAAAACAATTGTTACTGGTCTCAAAAGATACACAGTTCATGATTATGTAACTAGRAAATGAACTAGCAAAATCCTCAATACGCAGAGTAAAATGATTATACGTAGTGCAAAAAAATATCTGCATTTTTAACTTACAGAACTTCATCTAATTTTGACTGGGAGGAATTATAAGACAATAATTGAGGATAGATTTATAGCAGCTTAAGTTATTATAAATATTCATCATAACTAAGATTTCAATTTAAAAGAAAATGTTAAATACCTATAGACAAAGGTGACCCACAAAATGAGCAATGCTGAAATTCTTTGACTTCCTTTGGAATTGTAGACTCCAGCACAGAAGAAGGGTAGATGAGAAAATAATATCGTTGGCAATCCTTGGGTAAAATACCTACCAAAAGACCAACACGAGTTATTCTTGATGAGGGAGATAAGGTAAGCTATGTGAGCAGGGTACAAAAAATACTATAGCAGTACTTACCAATGCCATGGGTGACTGCCATAGAATGTCCCCATATCCTTGATAACATTAAATGCAACAAAATTCAGCTGAACTAAAGTTAATTTGCCATAAAACCAGCTGTCAATAAAAATAGACCACAGCAGAGCAAGAATACCAATAGGCATGATGTGTGCAAATATAAAAGACATTTTCCTCTCACTTTTGAAAAATGATATTGTGGCTAAAAAAATCCAAATAATGGCTGATGTTGGCCTAACCAAGCAAGACAAGGCAGCAAACAGCAATGAGAGAGTTAAGTTTGAGTTCTTTTTAGATTCTGCTTCATTCTGTATCTCCCAAGGCCAATAGTATAAGGCAATTGTAGTAAGAATAGTTTCTGTGGAATTAGTAAGAGTTCTTGTTACACAGTAAAACGTAAACCAAGAAACCAAGCTACAAAACAGAGACCACTTCGCACTTTCTTTTCCGAACATTTTGGTTGACAGCTTAAATAGATACAAGTCTCCAAAAGCTGCAAGTATGGCTTGAAGTAAACGAGGCACAATAATCAAAGCAGTAGCGTTATCCAGACCAAGGAATTGTAGTAGTTTGAAGGCACTCGCAAAGAAGAGAGGAAAGGTATAGCCTCTCAAACCTTCCTGCCATTCCCAGGTGAGGTAGCCATATCCAAAAACCAACCTATGCGCTACTTCAGGGCCTTGCCAGAATTCGTCTGGGACGAACCATGTTTTGATCAAGCAAGCGTTAAAAATTCTAAATACGAGAAGACAAGGGAGTAACATTGATTTTGAGAGCAGATTTGCTTTCACTTTGGGCTGGATTTGTTCCAGTTTGACCGAAGAATCTCTCAAAGGAACATCAGATTTTACTCCACGCTTCTTCATTTATGATTCCCACGTTTTTCTATTCGTAAAAATACTTAAAATCGGCAAAAATGTTCAGTTTTTTCATTCAAGAATTCCTTTGCAAATCGTCTTTTTTCTCTCTTTTTCTCTTCAACTGCACAAAAAGACCAGGCGTTTCGCGTCCTAAGGAAAGAAGCTGGTACTAATGACATATACCGCTGGAATTGACCTGCAGGCTCACGTCAGTCAAAATCAGTTCAAAAATTCTGTGAACTTTTTATGCAAAGATTATCTAGGAATATTTTGCTATAGATCAGAAATCAAATTGAAAGACATATAAACTAAAGTGATGGTTTTTAGAACAATCCAAAGGCTTCCTTTGCATCAGCTGTTTGTTGCAACCCTGGCAGGCGTACTAAGTGGAGTCTATATATTCAAGCCTTTATTTACCAGAAAGACAAGAGATCAAAATGTGGATGCTATACAAAAGACAGGAAACATCATTAATACAGAAGAAAAAAGCATGGAGACTACTGGAAAATTATGACGTCGGGAACTGAGGAGAAGATATTTTTCTTGAAAGTTGTAATGAAAAAAATCGTCATTCAAAACTTCCCCATCACAGGAAGAGTGGAAGCTTTTTTTTGGATTTGCTTGACCACAAAATAATGATCCCAAGCAGGAGCATAGGCAGCAGGGGGAGCCAAGGGGGCCAGGCCCCCACCCTCTTTGGTTTTTTTGGGGGGATTTGGCATTTTTGGGGTTCAGATGAAATGGAGGATTTTGGAATCTGGGCCTCCCATTTCTGAAAATCCTTGCTAAGCCCCTTCCAAGTCGAGGTTGGACTTGATGTATTTTATCAAGTTCAACTTCACGCTTCACCTTGGAACCATTGTTCAATTGTGGTCACTCAAGTGAATTTGGTAAAGGTCTATAATTTTCCATGGATTTGCCTTAGAGGATCCAAAGGGTGGTAAAAATTTGAGGAGAGTATTTTGTGTATTTTTAGAAAACATTGGTATACATACCTCCCTAAGAGAGGGTTTTGGAGGGTCAGAGGAAAATGTTTTGTAGAGCAAGAAAGTATTTATCACTCCAACAAGGGGATTGATTTTAGCCCTATTACTCCAATAATTTTTCATAAAAAGTTAACTTGAATGCACTTTGCTTGATTAGCTCTCCCTCCCTCCCTAGGGAGAACATTGGACAAGTTCTGATGCCACCCAAGATATTGAGAGGACCCAAGTTTATGATTTCAAAATCATGGCAAAAGGATTTTGTGGCACTATTTAAAGCTGTTGAAGAGTTAAGGCTTAACTTGGAAAGCAAATATCATGGGAAAATGAGACAGCAAATCGAGACGAAGAGCTGGAACAAGAAGTTAAATATGAGTTTCAAATCCATACTCTTAGACATATGTTGAAAGTTGTTGAAAAATCAGACTCAACTTGGAATGCAAATATCATGGAAAATGAGACAGCAAATTAAGATGAAGAGCTGGAACAAGAAGATAATTATTATGAGTTTCAAATCGATACTTTGAGACATGTTAAAAGCAGTTTATGACTAACTCCTGCCTGGCTCAGGAGTTTCAAGAAATAGGTCATATATATGGAACAATAGGCTCATACACGATTGAATTGATATGCAGGGCATTATATATTGGAGATAATACATTGCATAATTTTGTTGCATAATTTTATTACCAGTGTTGACAGTATTAATCATTTGTTTTTGGCATGATTTTTCACATTAATTAAGCTCTTTCGCTTCTCTTCATTCCTTTCTTTTTTTATGTTATTTGCTCAAGCCACRATCAATGATGTTTGACAAATAAACATGCTATACTTACTCTTTGTTGAAAAGAGCTTTACTTATGCCAGCAAACTACCCTGCAAGCAGAGGACATTTTTCTTCCTTAACTTAGGGTTGTTTCCCCCCGCCTAAAGCCAGAACAGAGGGCACTGAGAAAAAGTGAGACCTCTCCTAAGCAGCGCTGGGGTACCAACAAACTCCTGTCAGCATAAAAATTAACAATAATAGCAGTATGATCTGAATGTCCAGATATATTTAGAATCTGTAAAGAGTCGATATCTCTAGCAGCTTTCTGGTTTACAAAAAAAAAAACATTGCTGTCATAGAGTTTAGAGACATATAGTATTATAGGAGAGTAACTTAAAACAACTATTTCTATAATATAACTTATTTTTCTAAATTTATTTTTCTAAAAATTGTGAAAGCGCTTAGCACAATTTGACTGGTATTCATTTTTCAAGCCAAAGTTGCTGTGGAAGTTAAACTTCTCTTATTTCTTTAAATTAAATTGCTTGATATATATTTTCATTTGAGTGCATGTGTAGATATATTACCCTGAAACGTTAGTCTTTAATGGATAATTGCTCCATACCTTACTCCCTTTACTTTGGATGTTTGGATTATATATGCAAATTAAGGATGATTCCTATGGTTTATAACCAGTTACCAATGGCAACACTATACCTTCATATTCATTTGGCTTACCAAAGGTTCACACCACATTTGCATGTGATATGCTTGAGGGTTTACATAATCGGACAGTTAAATGTATTAAGTATCCACACATCAAACATTGATAGAGTTTCTGACCTAGTATTTTTGCCCTTCGTTGGTTTGCTTCCACAAATAACATGCTAGAGTCCTGCATGCAACTTGGATTTTTTTCTTTGAAAAATTATGATAAGCTTGACAATGAAAGCAATTATTCACAACTTTGAATATTTAGAAAGCAAAAAAAGTTCACCTTAATACTTATATGTAGTTATAATAGATGACTGTATAGAAATTGGACTTTTACTTTTATTTCATTTATTTCTTTCTATTTTTACCTCTGGCAATTTTTATTTTGAGTTCGTTCAAAGTCCAAAATGATCACAACGTTCAAGATCCAAATTGCAAACTATTAAAAGAAGAAAAAAAGTCATTGTTGATTTAAAATTATAGAAAATCTATCCCAACATTTCATTTTTTCCAACTCTCTATTTTTCCAACAAATAATTCAGAAATATTCCCTTTTTTCAATATATTGAAACAAAGCTAAAAATAATGCAATACATGTGCAAACTAATGACTTTATTTGGAAACAGCGTTGTGTGCGCGTCTTTTAGGGGGCTTGTTTGTTGTCACTGTCTCTTGGCACGCCTGATGCTAAGCCAAATACCTGTTCACCAACAAACATGCATATTTATGTATGGTAATAATTTTGGTAATTATAATTATAGAAGCAAAATACTGGGTCAATATACGAAGAAAGGCTCGAGAATTTTTGCAAGTGCTACGTGTCAATTTTTGAGAACGTCCAGAAAATTTCGAAAAATTCAGCACTTTTTTTACCAAACCCAAAATCTTGCGTCATATCTAACAGATGATTAAACTTTTCATGTTTTTACATTATCCTTTCCTGATTGGTTTATTCAAAGCAGCTTTAATCTGATTGGTTGGAGTCTGTCACGCGGTCACAGCTCATCTTCTCTCGATCAAAACAACAACAAACCAGTTTCGAACATCTCGTCAGTTGCRGAAGAGGTGGAAGCTACATACTTGCCGCGATCTAGCTAATATCAAACGTTTTTCAGATCTTCTTTTGCAAATTTCGAATGTTTTCTTTCACCAGGATGTAAAGAGAAACTTAGAAATGGCATCAAGAAACCTCAAGCCTAAGAATTCATCCGATTCTGAGGGTGAGGCAGAATGGACATTTATCGATACTGATGAAGGGACGATTGAAGTAAGTTGGTCGACAATCCTTGGCATAACACTTTTTCCTATTCAACCTTTACATATTTCTTCTCATTTCATCAAAAGTTTTAATCTCAATATTTCCGTGCGACGAAAAAGGTTTTCAAGCACTCTCTAGTCGCTCAGTACATCGAACTAAAATGTATGAAAAATATCGAATTTTGCCACCTAAAAAAGTAAAAATATCTAAAGAATATCTCGAAAAGCGTGAACTTCAATTCAAGAATATCATAATAAAAAAGAGAAGCATTCAACTAGATAGTGTATAGTTCAAGGTTAAGTTTTTATTTCACTTGTAAACATTGGATCACGTGATAGGAAAATAACTTAAACTTGATCAAATTACGCTCTGTATCTATCCCCTCCTTGTGCTACTAGACGTCGCCAAGCAAAGCGAAAGCTTCAGTCTAACTGTATCAGTTGCTTTCAACGAAATTTCAGATTGTTTTAGATTTTAGACAGAATAGCTAAATTCATACGTGCGAAAATTTTCACGTCATTTTTGAAATTATGCAGATTTTTTTATTTTCRTAACAAATCATTATAACTGTTGGCATATTTACGGATACTGATTCTTTAAGTTCGCTAATTAACGTTTTCTGATTACACTCATATTAAATTACTTTTAAGATAACAACAATAAAGCTTGAAAAAGGGACTTTAAACTTTAATTTTTTTTTTTTTTCTGAAAAACATCTTCCACTTTTAACTAAAATTGAATAAATTTTCTTTTTTATTATTCAAAACTGAGGTTTAAATTAATATGCATAAAATGAGTGGCTTTATACAGCTTTGATATCGTTAATATTGGCTATAATCTGCTTACATTCAGTACCTTACCCCCCTAAACATCCTCGTTCTGCAATCCATTTTGCTGGTATATCATTGTATTATTTTAMATTTTTTACCCTCTTTATAAAAGAAATATCTGCTACCAATTTCTATGTTCCATATGCAAAAGCTTGAAAATCTTACAGTACTGACTTACAGCCCAAACCCACACAAGTATGCCATCATAATTAAATAGTTTCACTTTATTTTTGGTTTTACCTATCCATTAAAATGCATATTAGATATATGAAGTAAACAATGATGAAAATATGCCTATAAATTTGTCATATTTTTTTCCCAGTCAGAGGGAATCTTCTCTTTATTACAATATTGATATTCAGTTTTGTTGTACTTTTAGTAACTAACTGTTTTCGTTATTTTATTTAATTTATTTTTATCATAATTTCTTTATGAATATTCCTATCTCATTATTGTCTATGCTGCAGGCTAGAGCCCTTCATTGTTGAATTTGCTGATAAACATATTAACAAGAAAATTTCCTTTTTTTAGAAATTTTCCCATTTAATGATTTACTTTTTTATTACAATAAGGAAAATAGCATTAGCGGTAGAAATGTTTTATACTCTCTTTCGAAATTCAGTATATTTTCTAATATTTTTCATTTTTTAAACAAGCGAGTTCACAAAATACTTTATATTGGAGATGTATCATAAGTGTTGCATACATTTGATAAAATGTTAGTCTTATTTTGACATGTTAGTTTGCATTACCTGAAAAACACAGGAAACCCATAAATCTGGGACAAATCTGAATACAATTATTTTTAAATCAATCATGCCTGTGAAAAACCACAGGTAGATCTTAAATCTGGGTTTGCCTTCAATATTATTGTTTTTCAAAGGAGATCCATGAATCCCATTGGYTGTATTGTACCTGCATAAAAACCACAGACAATCCACAAATCTGGGTTTGTTTTGAATATAGTAATCAATTATTAATACTTGGTTTTGTCTTGTTTTATTTTAGACAAGGAAAGACTCTGTCACCTATCGCAAACCTACATATTCTGAGATCCTAAAGGGAGTAGTCGCAGAGGATTTGGCCGAGGAGGTTGACAGTGAACCMGAATTCGAGGTCCTTGCTAGTTTCAAATTCCGACCCAAGGGAGAATCGTTTGGCCTTGGAAGCTCAGCTCCTAAACCTCCAAAGAATGCAAAGGCGCAAGGAAAAGGAAGTAGTCATGAAGTAGATGATGATGATGAATCACCAAATGGCGAYGATTCAAGCTGTAGTGATGATGGCATYATGATCATTTCAAGTCATTTAACTGGTGAAGATAAAGCTGATGAAGAWAGYAATWGCAAAGTTCCAYYACAAGCTTCTAATGATAATGATTRCAATAAGATTAATAATGCAGGATCYMTGGATGACAAKAGCAAAGATARAGAGACCGATGCTRACAAGAACACACACGATGAGGATGATGAYTTCGTAATKACKGATRAAACTGAGTCTGATTTTGAAGAAGCAACCATGAATAATACCCCTGATGACAATGAAGATGATGATAAAGAATGCAAGAAAGATGTTGAATTAGACAAGGAAACACTTAGTGAAAGCACAGCTGACAGCTTGAATGCAAGCACCATAAAAGAGGCAACACCATTGAATGAGGAAAGCTATGACAAYAACAGTGACAGTGACAGTGACAACCATGACAAYAATGATGATGGATTCCTTGGCATACACAAAGGAGGTATATGCGACAACCCAGAGAAAGACTTGGATTGGGACAGCCTCACCTTTCAGCTACTAAGCACTTTACCGAGATTGAGTCTCAGTACAAGCACTCTTGAAGATGACAATAAGAACCCTAGACCACAAGACRGCACCATAGACAGCATTCAAGACTCTGATAGTGAAAGTGATTCTCATAGCAGTTATGCTGCCATTAGCCAAGACGACAAACAAGRCGATACATCATCCTTCGACRAGCTGAGTGACTCAGCTGATGTCAACAGGGACTTTAGTTCAGAACCWATGATTCCACAATGGCTYTTTAATGCTGATAAGGATGCCGAAGATGAAATAGAATCATTTGATGATGATAGTGATTACRTCATCTCAGACATAGAAGAGCTCAAAGAATCTGGTCTAATTCCACAGTGGTTCTTTGATCCAAGCCACAAAGTACATGTAGACAAATCGGTTGATGGGGGCTTTGAACTCATCAACTCAGACCTAGATGACCTAAATAAGGATCCAGTTATTCCTGTCTGCATTTACAACCCAAGCTACAAAGTAATAGATACAAATGGATCTTTCAATGACGATGTTGAAGAAAACAACCCAATTATCCCAGAATGGTTTTTCGATCCCAACTACAAAATTCAGGACCTCAATGAAATGTTCGATGATGACACGGACTATACTGATTACACTGATTATGATTCRGATGATGACCATGACAGCTCAATGACCTTACCCCGATGGCTCTTYGATAAAAACTTTAAACCTCCAGATCAAAACGAGGAAGAATTTTCCTGGCCTTCTCAGTTGTTTGTGGATATACCTACGTTTATCATTCTCCTCTGTTTGACCACAGCTCTTGGATTTAGCATTGGACACGGTAAGAATCGCAGARTGGTTAACTTTGAATGTGTAGTGCCAGTAACTCTCCATCAAAAGAAAGGGCTTCAGTTCCATAACAAAATATATTTTAACCCTGGGCTTAAAGTTTCCCCATTTAGACCACGTGTCATTCTCTGGAGAATAAGGTTCTTGGTTTGAATCATATCTATATTTATGTGTCTTCTCGTGCGCAACTGTTAAACAAAGAAATGATACTCTAGGGAGTATCATACGTGGTGAAAAAGTACGCCCAAGGTAAAGAGGTCTATATTTATTGGCAGGTTTTGACTTAATTTGTATTTCATGATTATTTTTCTTGTTCCTGTTCATAGGTTTGACAGTATACTTAAGCAACCAATCCATCAACAGAAACGCAAAGTTACAAAACATAGAAACGCCAGCAAAACAATTCCCAAGCTCTCTAGAAGACCTCGGCTTGACGCCTGAAGAAATAGCAAGAATAGACTTGCTAAGACTCGAAGATGAACTCCATCAACAGAAAGAGGCAGACATGTTATCGAACCACCTCAGGTTTGATCTAAGAGAAATTTACAAAAGTCTYAAAGACAAGCACTATCGTCTTCTTCGTAATCAAAAAAGTACAGAGGATCGACTTCATATCAGCAAGACCATGTCTTGGTACTGGCGTATGARGTACGATGAAGAAAAGCGCCGAAACGAAGTGACAGGTTTACCTACGAACCTTCGGCCTAAGAACTTTAAGGACATGGCGAACTTGGCGAGGAARACAAAGCTTGCGAAAAAATGGAGGCGCCAATACAAGGAAAATTACACTGCACAAGGGCTAGGAAAGAGTAATCCTTTGAACTCTAATCTAAAATGGCTCGTTAAGYCCTTGGATGCAACGTTAAAACAAGATAAGAGACTAGGCAGTCGATACTTGATGAAAGCGATGRCTTTGTCAAAGGATAAAGACATGAAAAATTTCAGAAAACGATGGACACAAGACTTAAAAGACCTGAAGCAAAGATCCTGTTGTTCGTATCCGACGAATAAGAGCATCCAGTTGAAAAATAAAACAGCGGTTTCAAGCCCATTTACCTGGGTTAACGATAGCCGGGATTGTAAGCGAGCGAAGAGAAGCGATATCTTAGGTCTTTGCTCGACGAAAAAATCTTCTTTGGAAAAAACGAAAATTAATRATCCAACTGCTGAAAAACCAGCTAAAAAGGACTCTGGGAGAAAAAACGATGTAAAGTTTAGACCTTGCTTTTCAAAACCAAAGAATAATAGTAAAATAAAGCAAACATCGTCAAAAAATAAAGGCAAATTGTCTTCTAGAGTTAGTCGAGATCCAAAAAGGAGTTCAGTTCATCGCGCAAATAGACAGGAGAAAGTTCGCAGCGATAGGATAAAGAAAAGAGAATTAAAGAAAAAGGCTTTAAAGATAAAAAATCAAGTCGATGAACTTAAAGCTGTTCTTGTTGAACTTCGTAGAGAAAGACGTAGAGCTGAAAAAGAAAAGGCTAAGTTAGAAGCAAGTTGGAGAAAATTAAAGCGACAGCGTTTGCAGTTCGAGAAGGAAAGGAAGGAGAAACAGAAAAGTGATGAAAAGAAGAACAAGAAAGTAACGTCTAAACTAACAAGAGAGAAAACTCGATTGAAGACGTGGAAGAACGTTGCAAAAAGAGCTCAAAAGAAAGCCCATACTTTGCACAAGAATCTTAAACGTGTGTCTGTCGCAAAGCARGAGTTAAAAGATATCAAAAACATCAAAAAGAACCTGAAAATTGAGAAAAGAAAGCTTCGTGAGCAGCAAAAGAATCTGAAATCCATAAAACRACAGTTAAGGAAGGAACATCGAAATTATGCAAGAGAAAGATGGAAGACGAAGAAAAAGCGTAGACAATTGGAAAAACAAAGGATTAATGAATCCGAACCAATTAAAAAGAAAAATAAAGCCAAGAAACAAGACAAGACAAGCACTAACCGGAAGAAAGCAGAGAAACACCAAAGTCAACGTTCTTCTACYAAACGCTCCCAGGACAAGAAAAAGCAAAAACCTCAAAAGAAGTTTTGGGAAAATTTAGAAAAAAGTTTATATGAATGGGCTCAAAAAGTCAACAGGACAATAGAGCATCATCGTCGTGGAAAGGCGAGTAAAGTATGGAAAAARTTGAGAGCTCAGTTCGATAAGTTTGTGGCTTGGACGAAAGAACCAAAGGAAAAGGAAAATAAGGTGAAGAAACAAGAGAAGACAAGGACTAACGGCATGAAAACAGAGAAACGTCAAAGAGAACAGTCCTCTAACAAACACTCCGAGGATAAAAATAAGAAGCAAGCRCCTCGAAAGAAATTTTGGGAAAATGTARAAAAAAGTTTATATGAATGGGCTCAAAAGGTCAACAGGACAATACGGCATCATCGTCGAGGAAAAGCGAGTAAAATATGGAAAAAGTTGAGAGCTCAGTTCRATAATTTAGTAGCTTGGACGACAGGAAAGTATTCCAAAGCAACGGGCCCAGTGAAGAAGAAGAAAGAGCATCACTCAAAAAATAAAATTAAAAGTCCAGTGTTTGAGAAGATTCTTGCAGAGCAGATAAAGTATGACGAAGAGAAAAGAAATAGTCAAAAGGATTCTGAAAATCAATGGAAATCGAGGAGTCCGGTCGTCAACAAGAATAAAATAAAAGTTCATGACGTGAAAAAGAAGAAGAAGAAGAAGAAGGAAAGAAAAAAGAAGGATCCTGAGACGTCGTTAAAGCAACGGCAAAGAAAACAACGGAGAAAATACCAGAGAGAACTTGAACGTCTTCAGCAATGGGCTTTACAGATGAATGAGAAGAAACTGGAGCACGAGAGGATCTATAGAAAGAAAGAAAAAAAGAGCCGAAAACGTTTCAAATCTGACAGAACTCATCCCAAGCCTGGCACCAAAGAAGGTGCAGCAAAGGGACGGGATTTGGTTTCGGTGGAAGATTCAAATAGTACGTTTATGTTGTTGCTACAACCCCAGGCTAGCACGTCCGCAGACTACAAGACTCCAAAAGATACAAGAAAAGAAAAATCTAGATACCAAGACAAGGAGAGTATCATTCGAGAAGTGACGAAGTCGCAGATAAACCACAAATTGAACGAGAAGAAAACACAGACAGGTGTGACTCTTCCATTAGAAGATGATGTCATAAAGCTACCGGATGACGTCAATAATGGAAAAGAACCAAGTARTYCCTTGGATGTGACGTCATTTGGWGATGAAAGTYGCAGTGGCCAAGAGCCAACTCCTCCATCTTTCAGTCCTACTTTCTACAAAGATTTTCCCATTATTGGAATCATAAATGACGCAAAGCGTAAAAGAGATGGGTCTATTGGTGAAGCGGAWATCTTATCTTCTGACAGTCCCAAAGTTCCTGAAAACTCGCAGAACGGTGGCAATGGCCAGCGGACTGATCCTTGGTACATGCGCAGAGCTGAACAACGKGAGGAATTCCAKGATACTGACACAGGTCTTACGTTGTCTCCTCGTCTCGTTGGTCCTTTGAAGTCCGACGGCACGTGGTTTTTCCAAAGATCCAGCGATCGCGCCTTACAGCGAAAATTATATGAGCCCTTGAACAGACAGAGCACGAGGGATGGATTTAAACATAACGCTTGGAGGTCCTATTTCCATCGCGGGAGACKTCGGAGCGCAATGAACGATGGGGAGTGGGTGTTTGAGCGAGCAAGCGATCGTGCTGAACAGCGGTCTAATGACGAGCCTTGGTACATGCGCCGTGCGGAGGGCAGAAAAGAAGACCGAGAGGAGAACAAAGATTCGTGGTTCATTGAACGTGGTTTCGACCGAGAYATTCTACATCATTACGACGAGGATGATGAAGATGATGACCTGATGAATGATTACGATRATTATGCTGATCATGGCTTTGATGAAGAATATGAAGATCCATGGYTTTAAAACAATCCACCGAATGGAAACCTTAGTAATATTAGCACATTTAACGAGGTAAAATATCCCAATATGTTRAGCAAATGTTTTAGAATCTCGTTATTAAATTAGTCCAGGCCCGTCTCTAGAGGTGGTACGATGGTCCAGCCCCACCCCTCCCTTCTCCTCTCCTCTCCTCTCCTCTCTATGCAAAACATGCAAGAAGATTCAATAACGCAATAATATGTTTATCAAGAAATGGCAWAACTAAGATTGGTAGAAAAACGAACCTCCCTTTTCAAGTTTATAGCTACGGGGTGGAATTTCCTTCTCAAACAAATACAATACTTCCATTTCGAGTTCGCCTTTGCTCAGTCTTAGCCTCGATTGTGTACAATTGTGTTCTTTTCTTTCATTAAGGTCCATTGTATAGTAAGCAATGTACGCACTACGGAACAATACGAGTTGATTAAAATGCCACGGGTTTTGGTTGAATAGCTGAATATTATAACGTACAAACGAGACTAAGACTGAGCAAAGAGAACTCGAAACTGGAGTATTCTAAAATAGAATATAGTTTAGGCAGGGTTAGCCTTGTGATCAGTTTACATTCAAAACTAAAACTTTCCTGCAAGAGATTGCATCAAGATTGTCCTTTTTGTCTCTGCCGTAACTTTTGTTCATTTTTGATAGGAAAAAAGGCTAGCCCTGCCTTCATGGCCATGCGTAAATAATTAGCCTAGACGGAACAATACGTTATGTATTGTAATCTCGAAAAAAAATAACTTAACATCTAGGGACTTAGTCCTCCACAGTCATTTCTTCCCAACCTTCTAGCTGTGGGCTTCCTGTCCAAAGCGGGAGCAGAAAAGACTAGGGGAGGACAGAGAGTAGAAAAATATTCGTCCACCAGTAGAGAGACAAGAGTGATGTTGGGAGAAGGCTTATTCAACCAATACCAAATCACAATTTGGGCATCAGTTTATGAGATTAGATTCAAAAATTGCAGATTTTTTTCTTAATTTTTAAATTCTCGGGGTTTTTTTGGGGGAGTGGGGAGAATTTGATGGTATTTTCTTTCTGGTTTATTTTGCTTTTTAAGATATTGTCTTTTTGAGGGGAAGGTAAGCTGGTTAGTTTTTTATTTGTGGTGAAAATCGGACAATTTTGGKTTTTTTTTCCATGTATGTGTTTGTTTGCTTCGAAAAAAAAATTTCGAGGCCTTTTTCAAATTGAATTTCAAGCTATCGTATAATTGAGAAAAGAATCGAATGTCAAGGCATCTTGCAATTGTTTTTAAACTAAATTAAAGGGGTCAACAACCTTCGTAACACGACCGTTCGTTTTGAACTCCGCACAAACCTCCTTAATACGACCTTAACACTACCATTTTGGAAACTTTACGATGCGACCGTGTAAAGAACGAAATCACTAATAAGTTAACATGTTTATTACGACCTACGTAACATTGGTCTCAGGACCTGCGTAATACGACCTCATGTATACGACCACTAATCCTTACGTTTGAAACAATGTTAAAAGGGTAAATTATACACCGTGAAAAGATGAAAAAACCTACTGACGTTTCGGGCGCTAGTCCTTCGTCGGAGTAAAAGAGGAAAGTTTGAATTTTTTTTTTTTTTTTCACGTGAAAATAAGTTTTTATTTTGTTTACATAAAAATCTGGATCTCACCTCAATGTTAAAGTTTAAAAAATTTCAAATGCTTTTTTCTTTGTCAAGTAAGAGTACTTTAGTTCATTTCCATGTATGCAGTGTGTGTGGGAGAGAGCAGGGGARAGAATTGAAGTTCATTGCATTTTTTTCCTTTTTTTTGGCTTTCTTTTGGGGGGAGGCATTTTAGTGGTTTTTATATTTTTGTTAGTTTGTTTTTTAAGTTTGGGCAATTTTTTTATCGCAAACGATGTTTACAGTTAAAAGAAGCAAATTCAAAATAGTAATTGACAAAAAAATTGATAACATTTTTTGAAACCACTTTAAAGTTCTTCCTTGAAGTCAGTCTTAACTTACACGAATGTGAAAATATTTTTTCTGTGACTTTTTTTCAGTTCCGTTTTTCTGATATATTAAACTATTTTGCTTAAAAACTAATTCATGTTGACTAAAATGTAATTGGAATTTGATTTGACAGCAGATCACTGCCCAGCCTTATTTAGACCAAAATGAGAAACGTTCTAAAGGTTTCTTGGCAGGGATTCACTGCAGCACTAGAGTGGTTTTCGTGCAGCACTTGAGTGGTTTTCTTGCAGCACTCGAGTAGCTTTCGCTTATTACTAGAGTGGTTTTCGTTTAGCACTCGAGTGGTTTCCGCTGCTGGCCTTCAAATTTCTTGATATTCATATTTTCAAGGTTTTCGATTCTTTTTCAAGGGGAAATGAGTTAAATTACCAGAATATTCTATTATTATGGCAATAACGAGTTGCTACATCTAAGGATAGGTATATTTTGAGTTCTAACATTTATATGAAAAAAATCACATCCGATGCAAAGATTTTAAAAGCGATATCGAAGCTTCTCTTTTCGGTTGTCGGTCAAAAAGTTACACTTTCAACTTTCCATCGAACAAACCTCCTTTAACTTTCGCAAAACGTTACAAAGATTTTTTTTAAAACCAACCCCAGTAAATTGCGAGATGCCTTGGTACTTTCTGTCAGGGTGTGGTCCCAATTTCGTGAAACTATTCTAGACATTTTGTTCGTTTGTCTTTAGATTCTTTCTTTTTCCAGGGTTAAAATCAATTTGGTAATTTCATGAAGTATGTGATTTAAAATAGCTTCAGTTTTTTCATAACCGTTACGCCCATATTTTCTAAATTGTTGAATAAGCTTCTCCCTTTCTCTCCTCTCTCCTGGCTCCTATGTCTCTCTCTCAAGGGATTTTTAAGTCTCTATAAAGTTAGGATTAAGGATTCAAAGCTATTGAAAAGGGAGAGTGTTCCATTAGCTTAGTGTGAAAAGTGATGATCTTCAAACAGCGCAATTTTTCTACGGGTTTTTAAATTAGGTATTAGACTTTATAAACAACACTAAAAAAGAATTTATATTTATTTCTGTTGGTTAAGGCCAACAGACTCAAAAAAATGTCAAAATTCTTAAGACAATTTATTTGTCCAAAACGAAGAATTTCATTTGGTTTTGTGAAGTAAACTTCTATTTAATATCATAGCTTTTTTAACTTTGTTTGTAAGGTGCTCTTCTGACAAAATGTACTAGCAAAGTAGACATATTATTAAGATTATGCTTTCATTGCTAAGCTAATATCTTTAAGGGTGGTTCTGTTGATATGGCTATGAAGTTGTCTTCAAATTGCTCTGTGGATCGACATATCTAACGAAAGAGCAAGGAAAATCTTACGGAATTTAAGCTAGATATTTACCAACTATGTCTATGTTAATTGATTTTACAATCTATACTATTTGTGGCTTATTTTATTTTTGGGCTATTTCCATTAAAAAAATTCACGAAGCTTTGTTTTTCGCTGGGGATTTATTGCGATTTGGATTCGCCTTTTATGATATAACCTTCGTTTATTTGTGTGCTGGGCTTTTGGGTATAAATTCAAAAAAAAAAAAAAGAAGAGATAATTGTCGAACTCTTGCGCGCGCTACCCGAAGTAAAGTGTAAATGACTTGATACATAAATGATTTTCCTAATTCTATAAACCTTTATATATCTTTTTACCAATTTGAACATAATATATATTCGTGTGAAAATAAACTTTTGATATATATCCACATATGTACCTACCCTTTGCTTGACTTTGAGTTTGACTCGTGTTATAATTAGTTGTATAAATCCTAATAAAATTGAAATTAAACATTAATGTGTCGTCATGCATGGTAGGATTTTACGAAGAGGCGCTAGCTATGGCTTACCTGAGTGCGCGTACAAGAAACATAGGCTCTTTCTTGGTGTTGCAAGGCACCTGAAGCATATTAAGACAATAAAACTAGCCAAGGGTAAAGAGTTTGGAGCTATACAAAACATAATCCTAACCCAGAATAAAATGAAGATTGCCACACCAAGAAAGACCCGAAAAATATCCAAATGAAACAATATTCATAGAAGGCTGTACAACAGAGCAGCTTGCATAAATGGTGCGTATGCGTGGAAGAAGCACACGTGTTTTCCTTAATGCCGATTTAGACGGTACGATTTTCGCCTGCAACAACTTCGATTAACATTCGTTCACCTGGGTTCAGACCGCTCTATACAACGACATAAACCTTAAAAATTTCACAAGAAAAATGACTTCAACTAGGGAAAGACGAGCTACCACGGGAAAATTAATTTTAGAAATTACATCGAAATAAGGCGTCTTTCTGAAGCGTGTGAAGGAGTGCGGAATAGCCGGAGAATTACAAAGATCACAACACTCCAAAGGACACTAGTTTAAGCTTATTTTCTAT